ATAAGCTGAGGCAACTTATTTTATTTGAGGAATACTCAGCTGATTCCTCTACATTTAGCATGGAACAAATTTGTGTCCAAGACCTCTTCCTGTTACTCAATTTGGCTGTGTGTAACCAAACTAGAAGTGCTCTACAAATCAAGGGACCCAGAATGTGGAATGACCTCCCGAATCATGTCAAAGGCTGTACCTCTCTCAACCAGTTTAAGAGTTAAACCAAGTACTGCCTAATTAACTCCATGTAACCTAACTTACCTCCTAAATGTCAACCCATGTCTTGCTATTTTTTAAACAACGCTGTTCACCAACATGTGCAATTGCTGAGTTATGCTATGCTAACCCCCCTTTTTGTATTTTTTATTCCTTCTTTCAACACAATTTATACCTAATCCCGATTACTAAGTTTTAGTCTGTGTTTTTTCCCCCACACCTTGCCCGAAATGCTATGAGTATTAGTGGCTTTAGGTATTGTATGTACTAGCTCTGTCTATAAATCCAACATTATGTTTGTAAATCAACTGTATGTACTTTTCCTGAATAAAATGTATTTATTATTTATTTTTTAATCAGTAAGTATTAAAAGAAGGCACCAAGCTGGGAAGGCTATGTAGCACCATTGTGTGTAACAATAAACCAAATTTTTTTTAACAAATAATGCACCTGTATGGTAAAACAAATCCTGTCAGCTGTAAAAATATTGATGCAGTTATTTAAATGAAAAATATAATGAAAGAAATATTACTGGTTTATTTTTATCCTATCTTTTTGTACTGTACAGTATATCCAAGGAAGTGAAAAATTGAGACATAATGCACAATTTAATGAATGATTAGCATGGATTAGCAGTTCAAAAGAAATATGACTTGTATTACATATCAACATGAGATCTTAATGATCCATGGTCAACATGATTTAATAAGGATAATACAGTACTGTATTTGTAATAATACAAACTATAATTTAAAATCTTTATTACTGATTTTTTTTATTAAGAAGATTAGGTATACACAGCAATGTGCTGCTACCCTATTCTATATGGAATATTACACAGTGTAGATAAAAAACTAGCTATAAGTTTATCTAATACTCCCATCTCACAGGATGGTTAGACATACTGTACATGGAATCAATTTAGAAAATACCAGCCTCAATACAAAAAGCAAATCAACTCTGACTAAACAACTCTAAGCAATTTTCACAAGAGGTAAGCACTGAATCATGGAAACATTATATTATAATTACTCTTACCAGTTTCTACAAAACTCCTCTCAAACAATGTATTTTTAAACATGTTTAGGTATACACAGCAATGTGCTGCTTTCCTATTCTGTATAAAGGACCACACAGTGTAGATCAAAAACCAGCTACCAGCTCACCCAACATCCTCACCTCACAGGATGGCCAGTCATACATGGAATTAGGAGAGAACAAAATACTTAATGCTGATCTATTAGCCTCCACTGGCAAAATCTGGGTGCAGCACAAGAATATCTTCCAATATTCCTGAGTGTATGAAGTAATTACAGAGCTCAAAATACCTCATACCATTTGGTATGAAGTCACTGATAACAGGACAATCACAGATATAGTGTTGGAGAGTATGTTCTCTCAAGTAGGACTGAAAACAGATGTTTTTTTTCCACCAAGAGGGCTATAAACCCATGGAACCGCCTACCCGCTGAAGCCGTAAATGCCAAATTCCAGCTAAAAAATATCATTAAGACAATTGGCGGGCCCTTTAACAAGCCGCCGGCTTTCTGTCCTCTTCGAGGCCACTAGATAGTTAGTGGCCCTTGGGTAAATTCAGTAAATATATACAATAATTGTCAGCGCATCTTCCGAGCAACAAGGACAGCTACACAGTATCTCTTAGAATTACGTAGGTAAACAACAAATGTAACATATTTGTTTACTACAATGTCGATGCTGGCTGTAGAAGTTGAAAAAACATTGTTTTACTTCGAAATATACTAATTTTATAAGAAAATTCGACGTAAATAGGCGGCAGTAGAGCTCCGATAAGCCAGCGCTAAATCTTCAATATGAAGAATGTTGCTGCTCTCTGATTGGCCAAACGAAACACAGTAGTGACCTCTATCGGCACGCAGGTGAACCAACAATTTTCTTCCTAAGTATACCTTATTGAATCGCACCTAAGCATCTTCTTAGGGCGCACTTAGGAACCTTCGTAGTAAACCCACTTACGAAGAAATACACAGAGGGGTGAGACCTCCGATTGGCGTGAAGTCACCAGTGGAGTCCCACAGGGCTCTGTACTCGGTCCTATCTTGTTTCTGATATATGTAAATGATCTCCCGGAGGGTATCGATTCATTTCTCTCAATGTTTGCGGACGATGCTAAAATTATGAGAAGGATTAAAACAGAAGAGGACTGTTTGAGGCTTCAAGAAGACCTAGACAAGCTGAAGGAATGGTCGAACAAATGGTTGTTAGAGTTTAACCCAACCAAATGTAATGTAATGAAGATAGGTGTAGGGAGCAGGAGGCCAGATACAAGGTATCATCTGGGAGAGGAAATTCTTCAGGAGTCAGAGAAGGAAAAAGACTTGGGGGTTGATATCACGCCAGACCTGTCTCCTGCAGCACATATCAAGCGGATAACATCAGCGGCATATGCCAGGCTGGCCAACATACGAACGGCATTCAGAAACTTGTGTAAAGAATCATTCAGAACTTTGTATACCACATATGTCAGGCCAATCTTGGAGTATGCAGCCCCAGCATGGAGTCCATATCTAGTCAAGGATAAGACTAAACTGGAAAAGGTTCAAAGGTTTGCCACCAGACTAGTACCCGAGCTGAGAGGTATGAGCTACGAGGAGAGACTACGGGAATTAAACCTCACTTCGCTGGAAGACAGAAGAGTTAGGGGGGACATGATCACCACATTCAAGATTCTGAAGGGGATTGATAGGGTAGATAAAGACAGTCTATTTAACACAAGGGGAACACGCACAAGGGGACACAGGTGGAAACTGAGTGCCCAAATGAGCCACAGAGATATTAGAAAGAACTTTTTTAGTGTCAGAGTGGTTGACAAATGGAATGCATTAGGGGGTGATGTGGTGGAGGCTGACTCCATACACAGTTTCAAGTGTAGATATGACAGAGCCCGATAGGCTCAGGAATCTGTACACCTGTTGATTGACGGTTGAGAGGCGGGACCAAAGAGCCAGAGCTCAACCCCCGCAAACACAACTAGGTGAGTACAACTAGGTGAGTACAGAGCTTCCTGAATCTAGGTCCTAGCCGCCACGAAGGCGCTAAGAAGGAATTCGTTCTTAGCTAAGAGGAAAAACCTTCGTAAGTACCTTCCTGAATCCGGCCCCTGGGCACTAAGGGTATATTATTAGCAACATAAATACGAAACCTTTTCCTGTTTGTCCAAAAATGAATAGTAACAAATTTCTAAATGGCCATTACGTCAATATATGTACGGTGGAGCACATCGTTAGTAAAAGCAGTATCTAAAGAGGAGGATAGGCTGCATTATTATTATTATTATTATTAGAGTCTCACAATGTTCTTAAGCTCATAAACAAATATTTTATTTTTAAATAAAATATTTTTAAACAAAATATTTTGTTTAATAAACGTAAACAAAGTTGGTGAAGCTTGAGGAAAGATGTACAGGTTCACATGTATTTGCCTAATTGCTTGATGATCGGGCCAGATTCACGAAGCTGTTACGCAACCTCTTAGGAACGTGTACATCTTTCCTCAATCTTTGACGGCTTTGATTACATTTATTAAACAGTTTACAAGCATGAAAACTTGCCAATAAACTGTTGTTATTGTTAACTATTGTTATTGCCGACCAATGAGAAGCGAAGGTGCAGTTAGCGAGAATGTGACGTCAATTGAAAAGGGGGAAACGTGATTGGCTGTTGAATCCACCTGTTCGTGGAGGAGCAGCGTGGCGCTATTTTGCCCCTAGACGTCCGTGAACACGGTCGTAAACTTTGGTAGTGTCTGTGGTGGTACCCAGTTACCCTGAGGGGTCGTTAGGGGGCTAACAGACCCCTAGTGTACACGGTATTAAGTTGTACACCGTTATAACGTGACTACATAGGGGCAAAATATCTATAATTCCAAGCTGTATATCTCCCCTTTTCTAAGGTGTGAGGCTATATTCGCTGAGGCTATTTTAGTGCTGAAGACTATATCTATATATATATATATATATATATATATATATATATATATATATATATATATATATATATATATATATATATATATATATATATATATATATATATATATAGATATAGACTATATATATATATAGACTATAAAAAAGATATCTAATTCAGTACTAAAATATTAGATATCTTTTTTGAACTATGTAATCATAACCTCGCTTTAACTATTCCTGGACTTGTAACGCTGTTGGAACTACCAATCAGGCCGTATGATCAGCTATTGGGACCGGGAGATGAGGCTACTCGCGAGCTTGCAAACTGTGATTATCATGGGTCTGTACGGCACAAGGCAAGTAAGTGATGTAGTTACTATATATATTAATTTGTTTAAGGTTAATATAACATTTGGATTGGGATGTCAAGATATGCAAGATTGAGGCTTGGCATTACTGTATTAGGCCGTGTGACTTTAACCCAAGAATAGTGCGCCTTTACTCTCAAAATTACTATCAAAATCTGTTTAGTATGTACTCGTCCAGTTTATATATTAAATTTAGTCTGTCTACAGCGGTTAATATAGTACTAGCGTCTTAGAATGTCAACCCACTGATTGTAACAATCTGCTGTGACATCTTTTGGAGCCAGGTGCTACCTAGGTGCCTTTAAAACAGGCCTTTTCAATGTGAGCCGCTTCCACCGGTATTGCAGAAAGATTAGTTTTAATGACAGCTCTCGTTACATAAGTCTCCCTGTAATGTGTGGTATAAGCTGAATCAGTCCTTCACATTTAACAGCCGCTGGTAACTTCTCCCTTGTTCCAGATAATACCCGACTGTGATTGGCAGCACCCACCTGGGCCCTCTGGCAGAACGAGGATCAAATGCCAGCGAGAACAGCGACAACTTCATCACTTGACTGCCAATAGTCTTCACGAATAAGTGTAGGATATTTCATCTTCTAGCAAAGAAGCCTGGTATCGGTTCAACATTCGCCCCGCCCCCTTACTACAGACTAAAAGGTGAGCCTGTATTAAGTCTGTGTAGATAAAATCTCGCATTGAGCAGCCCGGTAATGGTAAAAGCACTTCAATGTTGCAGCTTTGGCCCCCATTCAAGATTCCACACTATACATTTTTTTTTTTTTACAAGCTGAGGCTGTGAACAACCGTATACGTAAATGTGAACGAAATGGCCATTTAAAAAATCAGTGCGCCCCCCCCCCCTACGTTAGCATAGGTGCTTAGATCTGTAGTAACAGTGCTAAGAATACGTCCTCGCTTCGAATCTGTGACACGTTCAAACACTTTAAATTTGCTTAGACCGTCTAAAACTGTCTTTCAGAAGACTTAGTTTGTGTTTGCAAAGTCAGTGCGAGTTTGAGCCGAAATCGAATTAGTACACCTATATTAAAGGTAAAATAAGTGGGTAAATGTTTATTTGTAGGTAACGCGTGGTAACTACCTAATTTAAGTAGCGTGGATGAAAACTGAAAAATTTTCTAAAATTAAGGAATCTGCCCCTTTTTTACGTTTGCTCGCAACTGTACGTGCAAAATGAAATATGGCGTCTTTTACCCTTGGCGAGTGATTTTATGTCCTATGGTGATGAGGAAACCTTTATTTCCCCCTTAGGATGAAAATCATCACTGGTTAACAGTTGGATTTAATTTGGTTTAGGTGTACAGAGGCATGAAATGTAAGAAAACGCGCACATATTCTGCTGGGTGCGACGTGGCAACTGTGTAGGACGGTGATAAGTGTAAAGTGGGTCAGCGTCCCCTAAGAAAAGTAACTTTAGGTGAGCTGGATAATGTGAGCAGCCAGGTGAGAGTGAAGCATGAGATGGTGACGAGCCATGGGTGGCTGGGTTAATGCCTCGCGTCTAGAAAACGGGCGGGAATGTATAGTTTATTTTGCTGCGAGTTTTTGGTATAAGAATCCTTGGCGTTTTTTTTTTTTTTTTTTGGGGGGGGGGGGGGCGATGTCTGAAGTAGTTAAGTATTAGTAGTAAAGTTTGGCACCGTGAGTGAATAGTAGTTTTAACAGCAAACAAGTCTGACATGATTTACAAGGATATTCGTTAAAATAAATCGTTAGCCATGGGAAGTAAAAATGAAAATCGAGCGTCAGTCTTGGTGTTCAAAATTTTTGTGCCGATATAACACTATTAACGATGACGTTTGTAATTAGTCGGTTAACAAATGTTCAGTCAGATACTGCAATGTTGCAGAGAAGTGGCTTAAATGACACGAAGGAAGGAAGTAATGGCGTTCATTTGCGAGTAACACGAGAAGAATGGCTAATTTGGCATTGAGAGCATGGAAAGACCACGAAAGCCTCATATTAGGAGGATGTTAACTGTTTGAGCACCTGTGTAAGCAAGCTAGGAGTTAAACAGTTTCGTAACGTAGGCACTAACGCAACAACTAGGCCGAACGCAGTCCTGTATATTGAAGTAGCACACACTAAAGGGTGTAGCTAAGTGCATTTACGAGCTCACGATATCACGTGGGGAGGGGGAAGGGGTTTACTCCAGATTAAATGGATCTAAAACAACGTATGAAGGAAGATCGTGATCTATTGAATGTCTCCGCCGAAAGTGTCCGGGTGTTTGGTAATAACGCAGTTGGAAGGGGGGAGGGGGCCAGTCGCCCTCTGAAATAAAGGGAGGGAGCCTAGCGAGTCTGAAGGGCCGGGGAAAGCTTGACTACAGCCATATCATGACACCATCGCGTGATTGTTGTTTTCACATTGAAAACACTTCTGTAATATATACGGCATTAATCTACAAATTATAAAAGCTGGTGTAAAAAATAAGTGCAACTCCAGTTGGCAGGACGATGCTGCTGCTGCTTCCGGAAACTTTGCTTATTTAAGACTACTCGGTAGCCTAGTCGCTAGTGCTTCAACCTCGCATGCGTCGGGAGGTCGTACAGGCCAGGTAATGGAATATTACCATCCACAATTGTATGGATGGCTATTGTATGGATTCAACATTGCTGCAGCCGTAAAAGAAAAAATACAAAATATAGGAATAATCGAAAAACACAGCAAAAATAACGAGCACCCATGTACCGTCTCCCTCATGTAAGTCTGAAAACACTGTATATTTCAAGCTCCTTACACTTTAAACACGTTACTGATAGTCCGGCACAGGATGGAGACAATTATACCCCGGGGTTTGACTCTCATGACGGTCAGGATAAGGGAGCTGACGTAATGGGCTCATAAATTAGTAAATGGTTGTAAACGCCCCTACAAATTCTTGAAGGTGGTTCGGTGGTGTCTTTGAAATTGGTTGACTGTGCCGTTGTCAGTCCATGGGGGGCCCCCCCCCCCCCCCCCCAAGAAAAAAATCATCCCCACTTTCCCCAAAAGAAAAAATCATCCCCACTTTCCCCAAAAGAAAAAATCATCCCCACTTTAAAGTCTTCTGGTTACCTGGGTACATAAATTTGACATATGACAGATAGGGGAACCTTTGTCAATATGGTCAATCCGTGGGCTTGCTGTCCTTGTCTGGGAACGTAAATTTATCTAAGGGCGGCTTGAAGTATATAAAGGAGCTACTAACCTTAAAAATTTCAGTAATGTTAATAATGCTACCAAGTCTAATTGTAATGTTAATAATACACGTGGCGTTAGTCATAGTACCAACACCTTATTAATTTTAATGTTTAAGAAGAAATGTTAAATCTTGATAAGTGGAGGGGATGTACAGCTTCCGGTCGACTTGCGACAAATGGTTGACTAATTTCCTCTCCAGATGTGACCCTCGTGCCAGTATTTGTCTGGATTACTGCTGTGGTGGTGGTGAGGATGGCGACGGCACGCGTGGGGTGTGGAGGCGGCGTGTTGGAGGTGGATTTGTTGCTGATACTGGTGGTGGTCGTGGCGGGGGTTGTGTGTAGCGAGCTGGATGGCGCCCCCTCTGGCGGTAGTGGAGGCAGAAGTACAAGCAACACGTCTGGGTTCTTCGTCATGGGCAAATGTAAGTGCTTTAAGTTACTGCTTGTATAATAGGGTATTAAAAGTATCAACACAAGACAGAACACGAAACAATGGGTATAAATTGGATAAGTTTAGATTTAGGAAAGACTTGAGTAAATACTGGTTCAGTAACAGGGTTGTTGATTTGTGGAACCAATTGCCGCGTAACATTGTGGAGGTGGGGTCCCTCGATTGTTTCAAGCGCGGGTTCGACAAGTATATGAGTGGGATTGGGTGGTTATAAATAGGAGCTGCCTCGTATGGGCCAATAGGCCTTCTGCAGTTGCCTTTGTTCTTATGTTCTTAAGTTATCGGTGAGCTTCAGGTCTTGGTCGACGGGCTCTTGGTTATCCCTTGTGTAGCAGGAAGTATATGGTGTAGAGTTCATTTTGTTGGGTTACTTGAGAATAGTTATGTACTGGGAACAGGCAGATTTCTTTCCTTCTCATACTTGTCCCTGGATCATTAACCGCCAATCTGCCGTCATATTGGTACCCCAAGTACTGCGGTAGGCAATTATTGGGCTGTTAATCTTGGCTAGCCTGACGAAATGGTACGCTGAATGTGGTGGGGGAGGGGAGGGGGGGATTGTGCGCGACCCAGGAAGTGTAATGATTCATCTCGTGTTTAGCTTTGCAATTGTACCCAGTGTTGTGGGGGACATGTTATGGCTGCACTTTGATAGTGTATAGTATGAAATCAATTCAAAATGTAACACTGGGAGGTGCAAATCGTGTTTTGCAATGTGGTGTTCCACATATAAAGGGTCTTGTATTGGTAGACATGTGAAAATAAACAATGTGATATACAAATAATGTTTGAAGTTGAATTATACAATTACATACTGGTTTCGTAGGCTATACGAATGTGTAAGGAGTTTTGACCGTTAATAGATCGTTGTAGCCCTTAACATGAAGTGTTCTCAAAGTTAACTGGATGCATATTTTTCATATTTCATGGAGGACAGCGTGTGGAGAGGTGCGGGCCGGCCGGAACAGAGAGATGGTGAAGTTTCTATTTGTGGAAAAACCAGTATGGCTCGAGACGACGACCAACGCCACGCTCCAGAGTAGGAATGGAAGAGACTGTGACCTGGAGGCCAGTGTTATCTACAAGGTGAGTCTGATTATCCTCATTCAACACCTTTCTCTTCCCCAATAATTTAGTTATACTGAGTCCATAATATATAATAGGTGTGGCATAAGTAGCATTCCTGCACAAATAATCATGTGATGTACTTTGAGCATTAGGCGTCAAGAGAGCCAGCGTGACTAGGCTTGTAGCAGAAGAGTTTTTGTAAGATCCCTGTTTAGTGGCATTTACCTAAGCCCCCCCTAGTGGCTTCAAGGGTGACAGGAAGGTGGCGGTTTATCTGATATATTCCCTTTGTGGATGGTGTGATAAGGGCTTAGGTTGACAATAATTTAGGGGAAAAATTGTGTAAATTTATAATGCTTTGTCTGGTACAGTGTTTGCAATAAGTTCATAATGTACTTCGATAATTGTATGTATAGATACTTCCCTTCCCTTGGCAAGTTTCGAAGTTTAAGTATCGGGGGAAAGCGCCAAGGCATTACGACTAGATAGTACAATCTACGGGCTCACCATAGCCCGTGTTACTTGGAACTTTTTGTTCCAGGTAGCGAATCTTTAACAACAACAACTGGGGAGAAGTGAGGATAAGGAATTGGGATGGAATGGTGCCCAACTACTTTGGACGGTCAGGGATTGAACGGCGAGCTGCTAGATTAATATTATAGAGAAAATGCAAGAACGATAATATGCCCGTAGCTCACCATATAACGCCCTCGACCCACTGCAAACCAGATATAACAAGATTTTCAAAATTATAACAAGGCCCCCTCCCTCCCTTTGAAACAAAAATGAAGGGAGACCGTCGCTCTACCGTCCGCCCCACGTAAAGTTGGCAACATAAATTGTACAGTACATGTTGTCATTTATTAAACTACAGCTGTGTGTATGTTTGGGTAGTTGTGGCAATCATTTTATATACAATGCTTGTAATAATTTGGGGACATTAGAGTAGCAAATAGATAATTTGATCATAGAAGAGTTTAAAGTGTAGGTTTGACGGAAGTTAGGGTGACTTGTGTAGTCCAGTAAGGTTACTGTAGTGTTTTTCGAACGGTGGCCATGTATTTGAGATAGGAATGGTGATAAGAAATGTTTATCCTATATGAATGTTCAGAATCCTGATTTCAATGTACTTCCCCAGGTGAGACGCTCGAATACCTTGGACGTGGTCGGGGAAGACCTTGATACCATCTTGTGTAGCTACCCTCGGGACACAGACCTCCAGCTCTTGAAGGATGAGGTTTACGTTTCTTGCATACAAGGTACGAAAGTTAAATTTTGTTGTAATGGAAGTTTATTGCAGTGCAGAAATTTTGTTGCGCCTATAGTTTGATATACAGTAGGTTTCCAATAGTTATCAGTGGTGTATATATAATTAAATGAATATCAGAGAAGGGGGGGGGGATCGGTTAAAAGTGCGGGCTTCGTGTCTTTCTAAGAGGGCAATAGATACGTTATGTGGTCAATGAAGGCATAAATATATATGATGGTTAGAATTGTTGATAAAGGAATAGATAATTGTTTGGAGTCATAAGTAAATATTTGCTAGAATGGCAAAGTAATAAAACAAGTTTGTAATTTGTTATATGAAGAAATGTTACCGAAATTTTGGATATAAATGTAAAGCAGACCTAAATTGAATAGATCATTGACTGTAAAAAAAATATTGCCAGGAATAAATTGTTTAGTGTGCTATTCGTATTGCCACTTGTACAGTGTTTGAGGTGAAAATATATTAAATAAGGAAGCTATTGATAGGCTCAGTACTGGTAGAATAATAAATGGCAAGAGCAGTAGAGCAAGTTCAGATTTAAAATATATTCTGAGTGTTAAGGGAAAAGAAAATATATACGCATTGGTTGTTTCAGATAAGGAGAGTGCTGAGGAGGAGCTAATAAGCATCATGGTTGATTCTGCCAGAGGTTCTGGGCCAGCCACAGCGCCTACGAGTGGATTAGGACATACTACCGAAGAACTACTTCAGCCTAGAGGTCCAAAACAGCTTAACTTTGACACAAGTATCGGCAAAGATCAGACAACCACACCGGGAATAACGGAAACATTCCAACTGACTAAAGATTGGCGAATGTATGTGACACCAGAAATATTGAGTGAAGATATGATAACGTCGCAAGAAACGGCTGTTCTTGAATCAACAAGTTATACACCAGACAAGTGGGAAGAAACGGAAGGAAACGAAAATAATTTAACTTCTGCTGATGAGGTAGAAGGAATTGGTAATCCGACTGTGCTAAATGCCTTTACTGTTGGATATGACACTCAATTGTCATCACAAAATTCGTCTGAAATGAATGAACAAGAATCAAGTGAGCATTTACCATACTTCATAGGAGCCGGAACGGGGGTTGTTTTACTGGTGATAGGCATTATAGTCATCATATATATTGTGCAGAAGCGGAAACCGAAACGAAAAGCAGAAGAAAACATAGAAGACTTCTTCATTGTCGGGTCTACTAACGGACAGGAAGAAAAAGACGGGTACCACAATGCTGAGATCATGATGTACTCGGGTGGTGAGCGGGAAGAGGCTGTAGAATCCTTTGAGTTGGAGGAGAGAATACTGAAGGGCCCAGTCTCTTCCCATGAGCTAGACACACCAAAATGTCTGCGGGCTGAACGAATCCAGGCCTCAACTTGTGCCAAAGGCGTCAAATGAATGTCGAGTGGGGTCAGGTATACAGTAGAAGGGTTTTGATGTACAGTCAATTAGAAAGCAGACAGAATATTGAAGTTCTAGAGGCAGGATCAAGCATAAAAGTTGGTGTTTACAGCACATGCTCAGGAAAAATTGTTTGAGAAATATATACTAGATTTAGAGATATAGTATTTTCCTTGTAAAATGTCAATATTTATATTGTATATTATTTAATAAATAAAGTAATCGCATACTTTGCGTCATTAACTAAAATAATCGCATACTTTGCGTCATTATATAATGGAATATGTAAAAAAATAGCTAATGTTAAATGTAACGCCACCAATGGTGTACACGAAATGTGTAAGTATGTCATTATGAGAGTGTACTCGGAGTGTTGGCGAAGTGTAAAGGTGGTGCCCATTTGAGTGTGGCTCACCATAAATGTAAAAAGGCCTGTATAAACTTGAGGCTCTTGTGATATAAAATGTATAGATATGTATTTGTGTACATTGATGTATGTAATCGAAATCTGCTATGAAATAGGCTGAAAGATTGTGCATTGTTAGCTGTATGTGCTTGAGGATAAGTTTACGAACAGAGCTGTTTTCCCTGGTGGGAGGGAGGAAGATAAAGCGTGTCGTAAATGTTACTAATCACCCTGAAGACTGTACCCCATAACAGACATGGGACCGATAGGTTGCAGACTTAGAAGCTGGTGACGTTGTAGGTGTTGATCAGGTATATGAACGATGATATTGACTTCATAGAGGTATGCACGTCGGATCACTGCTAGTTTGTATGTTTAGGTAGTTGAAATTAAGCATTAATACGTAATAAATGTAGTTTCATAAGCATTGTGTGATCCCGCCAAACCTTGTATTTATGAACGAATGTAAATGACTCCAATGAATAAATGTAAATGATTGTAAATGACACCCACTCCAAATAATCAGCAAGAGTACTTGTATAGTGATCCTGGTTTGGTGCCTTTTGATAATTACTATAAGTATATATGCACAAAATGGTAATATATGTAATTTATATTTGAGAAAAGTAGCATTTTGAATGAACAGCAAGTAAAACTAAAGAAATATTTATGAACGGTAAGGGGGTCGAACACTGGATGGATTGGACTTGACGAAAGTACGGGTTGGTGATCCCTTACCTTTCCGGTAATAAAAAAAAAACTTTAGGTGTACATAAATGATCAATCGTGTATTGTGATATGTAAATGTTAGATATTGTAGGTATAATATGTAATATACGCTTATACTTGATTATATTAAAGTATACCGAATAA